GATGGAGGGTTGCCATAGGGCCTGGGCGTACATGGGGACGGTGCCGACTGGGGTGGAGGAAGCGGCACGAGAGGAGATTTCGGCCAAGCTGCGCCCCGCGGCTGTGCACTCCACCATGGGCAAGGTGCGCCGCCCAGATTAAATTCGCGAGTAGCGGCAGATGAGATGCTCAGATATCATCAATCAGAGATCTGATGACGCGAGTACTCCCAGGTGTTCATGGAGACGGCGGCACCGCTTGAAGAGGTGACCGCGCTACGTGCTGTAGACCGCCTGTTCCTGCTGGCGCTACACCATCCATCGCCCAACTATCCTGCAGGTACTACACACAACACGCAACACAGAATGTTCATGGCGCTGAAGCTGTAGTGGTGGCACAGAGGGCTCGTTGGTGGCGGCGTTCAAGGCGTGGGTGGTGAGCGAGACCATCGACTGGCCTGCGATCCTCGATGTCTGGCAGAAGGCCTACCACGGTTTGTGTTCCATGCCAATCACACACCGCACACACCGCACACAGCACATGCACCACCGCACACGGTCACTACTCGAACCTGACGCCCCCCAACAGCTCATTTGCGACCACCCGAGGTGGCACCCGCAAGCGGCTTTGGTTACTACCCGGACACGCCCTGCCGCAGGTGCGTCGTGCGCGTGTGCTGTGTGTGCTGTGTGTGCTGTGTGTGCTGTGTGTGTGTGTGTGCTGTGTGTGCTGTGTGTGCGTTGTGCGTGTGCGGTGGTGCGTGGGCGTTGCATGCTGAGGGATCACAACGTGCCGCACACAGGTGGGACTCGAGGTACGCGTACGCCAATTCGGGCATCAGCTTCGCCGTTTCGTGTACGAGGACGGGCCTGCGCACCAAGAGCCTCACCTCCAAGCAGATCGCCCAACACGTGCCTCTCCTCTCCCCCTCTCTCACGTGCCACGTCAGCCTTTGCTGACGTCAGCTTACTTACTGGCACCGCGCCCAACGCAGTGCGGCGACAGCCTGGTGGAAGGTGAGTGACTGCGCTGGTGGCGTCTGGTCGCTTAAGGTAGGCAGCTGACGTGGCGGTGGAATGTGAGCTATGGCGCGCAGAGTTTGGGTGGAAGGTGGACCTGGAGCAGCCGGCGCTCTCCATCGCTATCTACGCCACCGACGACCACTTCATTGTTGGCATTCCACTGCTCGAGGTAAGTAAGTGCGTTCACTCATCATCGTCACCATAGTCACCATCGTCATCATCGTCGTCATCGTCTTATCGTCGTCAGAGTCAAGTGGCCAAGCGAGAGCACATTCGGGGCAAGGGACTGCGATGCTCCATCGCCTATGCCATGTGTCGGTTCGATTTCCCCTCCTCGCTGCCATTTTTCGGGAGCACGCTACATTTCTGACACACGATGACGCGCACGAAACGACACACGACACACGACACACATGCCACGACACGACACGACACGCACCACACGACACACGACACACATGGCATGACACGACACGCACCACGCACCACGCGACACAGAGCAGCAGGGGTGGCGAATGGGAGCGTGATTCTCGATCCCATGTGCGGCCGGGTACGTGGCCCCACACCCGTCTCCCTCCC